TATAATAAAAATGACAATCCTACCTAAGCTAATTTACTTATTCAGTGCCATACCAATCAAACTACCAAAAAATTATTTTATAGAGTTAGAAAAAATAATAACAAGATTCATTTGGAAAAACAAAAGGTCCAGAATATCAAAGGAACTAATGAAAAGAAATGCAGGGGAAGGTGGCCTAGCAATTCCAGATCTTAAATTGTATTATAAAGCAGCAATCATCAAAACAGCTTGGTACTGGCTAAGAAATAGGGAGGTGGATCAGTGGAATAGGTTAAATATGCAAGACACAGTAGTCAATGACTATAGTAATCTATTATTTGATAAACCCAAAGACCCCAGCTTCTGGGATAAGAACCCACTCTTTGAAAAAAACTGCTGGGAAAACTGGAAAAGAGTATGGCAGAAACTAGGCATAGACCCAAATCTCACACCATATACCAAAATAAAGTCAAAATGGGTTCAGGACTTAGATATAAAGGCTGATACCATAAGTAAACTGGGACAGAAAGGAATAGTTTACCTATCAGATCTATGGAGAACAGAAGAATTCATGACCAAACAGGAGATAGAGAACATTATGAAAAGCAAAATGGATAATTTTGATTACATTAAATTGAAAAGTTTTTGCACAAACAAAGCCAATGCAACTAAGATTAGAAGGAAGGTAGAAAATTGGGAAAGAATTTTTACAACCAGTCTCTCTGATAAAGGCCTCATTTCTAAAATATATAGAGAATTAAGACAAATTTATAAGAACACAAGCCATTCCCCAATTGATAAATGGTCAAAGGATATGAACAGACAGTTCTCAGATGAAGAAATTAAAGCCATCTATAGTCATATGAAAAAATGCTCTAAATCGTTATTGATTAGAGAAATGCAAATCAAAACAACTCTGAGGTACCACATCACACCTATCAGATTGGCCAACATGACAAAAAAGGAAAATGATAAATGTTGGAGAGAATGTGGGAAAATTGGAATGCTAATACATTGTTGGTGGAGTTGTGAAATGATCCAACCATTTTGGAGAACAATTTGGAACTATGCCCAAAGGGCTACAAAAATGTGCATACCCTTTGACCCAGCAATAGCACTTCTAGGGCTATATCCCAAAGAGATCAAACAAATGGGAAAAGGACCCACATGTACAAAAGTATTCATAGCAGCTCTTTTTGTGGTGGCAAAGAATTGGAAATTGAGAGGATGCCCATCAATTGGGGAATGGCTGAGCAAGTTGTGGTATATGAATGTAATGGACTACTATTGTGCTATAAGAAATGATGAACAGGCTGACTTCAGAAAAACCTGGAAAGACTTATATGGTCTGATGCTGAGTGAAGTGAGCAGAACCAAGAGGACTTTGTACACAATAACAGCCACGTCATGCAATGACTAAGAATGTTAAACTGAACCCTTCTCAGCATTATGAGGATCTAAGACATCTCCAGAGGCCTCAGGATGGAAAATGCTGTCCACATCCAAAGAAAGAACTATGGAAGTCCAATCGCTATCACTTATTTTTACCTTCTGTTGAGTTTTGTTTCATTTTTCTGATGGTTCCTCCTATTGGTTTTAATTTTTACTTACAACTTCACTAATGTGAAAATATGTTTAATGGGTATGTAAATGTAAAGCCTATGCCAGATTGTGTGCCATCTTGGGGAGGGTGGGGGGAGGAAAAGGGAGAAAAATTTTCAACTCAAAAGCATACAGAAAAAAAAAACATTAAAAAAAACAACAAAAAACCCCATTATGCTGTATCATTTGATAATTAATACTACTCTTTAATCCATTTTTCTGTATTCTGTCAGAACCCCATCTCTTAGCCCAGGGGTGGGGAGCCTGCAGCCCCGAGGCCACATGTGACCTTCTAGGTCCTTAGGTCCAGCTTTTTGACTGAGTCCAAGTTTTACAGAACAAATCCTTTTATTAAGGGGATTTGTTCTGTGAAATTTCAATTCAGTCAGAGGGCTGAACTTGAGGACCTAGAGGGTTATGTGTAGGCTTGAGGCCAGAATTAGCCCAACTGAAAAAGGAAACCTCTCCACTCCTATTCCCCAGAGTATCTCCTTATTAACCAATTTAAAGTGGGACCCCATTTTGTTTATACTTTAAATAGAGAACCAGCTTGGGCTAGACCTTCTTGGGGTGGGGGTGGGACAATTCTACTGTTTTTGTTTTTCCTTTTCAAAGTCAGGGGTGACTTGATCTTCAAGAGAAAGGCCAAACAGGGGAGATCCTCATTAGAATGATTTTGTTTTCTAGCCAAGATTACTAGAGGCTGTTGAAGCCCATTAAGCAATTAAAATTCCTTAATTGTTAGAAAGGGGTATAATCAGCTACACCTGAAGGTCAAACTACCTGTCAATCAGTACTGCCTTACCTTTACCAGGGGAAGTACAAATTATTATGGTCTGGCCAGTCAGTAGGGAGTCACTATTAGGTTGAAAAGATCCTGTTGGCCCTCACTCAGGGTCTCTGTTCCTTGGTAGAGTGAGGTCAAAATCCCAATGCCTTGGTTACTAGTAGCCTAACTAAAAAACTGATCATGCTCAGGTCCTTGGCTCTTCTGAAGTTCCAGTGTGACCCATTTTCCTAATAGTTTATGCATTGCTGTTACTAAAATGATATCTTGCCCTGCAGAAAAGAATGCCATTGTTGTAATTTTATTCTCCACAATGTGACTTCGGTGTATTGGTTACTTTGCAGAACTGTTCATACCCCTGCACCTGACTTCTACTTACCCTGTACCCTCTACATTTTGTTTAATAAAGGACTGATCTCTGGGAGTTGGAGAAGGAAGGAAAAGTGTAGGAGATTAAAAAACAAAGTGATCAATAAAATTAAATATTTTAAAGCAATCATAGAACATGACAATAGCAATATATTTTTTGAGAGATTTTGGTGAATTTTGTTTTTTTTTCAAGAACAGAGAAAAATGTGAGTAAATATAGTGGAAGAACATGTGATAACATTTAAAATGTATTATAGCCAACTTAGATTTTGGAGAAGTATTTAATAACAGCAATATATTTTATGATGGGGTGTGGCCCAAGCCAAGGTCTTCGCCCCTTGCCCCAAAGGGAACTGGCTCTCCTTGTCTACAGGCCCCAGCCCCTCATCTCCCTTTGAAAGCCTTAGCCTACCTTTTAATCTTATTCAGATGCCTTTCAGTTCCTTCATTATCTATTCCCATTGTCTATTCAATCTCTTATACATTCCAATCTCGGGGAATTCTCACCCAGACCCTTTTCCCAGATCTTCCCTGGTCACCCAAAGTATATAAGATCTACTCTGGCCCCCATTCGGGGCTGAGAATCTCAGGCCCAACAGGCTGAGATCTTCTCATGCCCGCTGGTCCTTAAAGTCACCTGGCCTATATGTTTTATCACTAATTAACTTTTCCTCTGGCTGAAGAAGATTTGAGTTGAATTCTTTCAGACAGGGCCTGGTACCGCGATCTTGGGGTTCCTAGACCTCTTCATTTTATATTGTCAAATTCATATGCATGGCAGCAATACTTTTCTGTTCTACTGTACTATAAACTCATTGGGAGAGAGAGAGATTAAATCCTATCTATAGTTTATATCTTATGCAGAGCTAAAACGTGAAATTCTCCTATGATTCTCTGAAACTATGTCTTTCATCATTTCTTATATTTTTATAGTATTCCATTTTTATACCAAAATGTGTTAGCCATTCCCCAACTGATAGATACCCCTTTGATGTCCAGCTTATTGCCTTTAGTAGAGCTAATAATAATATCATGTATATGGCTGCTTGAGAGACACACAGGAGACACTTGCCAGATCCCTGAAGGAATAGATTATGGACACTACCCAAGGACTTGACACACGGTATGGTCAAGGCAAGGTGTGTACACATGTCATTCATCAATAATTTCACTTGAGAGAATGGTATGACATCAACTTCCCTGAAAACCTCTTAAAGGTCCTCTTTGCAGGACAGTTGTTACTTAATAGATTTTTAATCTGGAGAGATATACTCAACTATGCTTGCCAGAGAGAGAACTTTGCATCTTGATTTACCAGCATGATGATTATTCTGTGGATTTGGGCGTTCCTTGGAAATCATTCATGAATCATCTCAAAAATAAGATACTCTAATCCCTAATCAAAATTCTAGAAGAAGATAGGTATGATGAAGGCAAATTCTAGCTGAACAAGAATTCTCTTTGACAGTGGTCCCAGTGCAAGGTGGTGGTGGTGGTGGCGGCGGTGCCTGGAAGATGGTCTTGATGTGGTGCTTGGGTGCTTATGCTTGGATGCTTATGTTTGGGTGCTTGTACTTGGACCCCGATTTCCCCCTAGCCTCAGAAACACTGTACCTGACAGTTTCTCCCCAGCCCAAGGACCCTGTGCCTAGCAATTACTCATGAGTGGGCCCCAGCAAGACCCTTATCTCTCTCCCTGGTGCAGTTCCAAACTGCACCTGAAGGATTTATTAGTTTAAACCGGCTTTGAACTGGGTCATAAAGACATTCTTACCCACTACTATATTATCCTACTGCCCTCCCTCATTATCTACATCCTGGGCTCCTCATCAACCGTATTCTAGGCTTAAGACATATGTATACTCCCTACATCTATCTTGTCTAAGAAGACATTGACTGGTGGCAGACTGCACAACTCTCAGTTACCCTGAACTCTAGTTGACTTAGTGACGTAGCAGGCCTAAAACCACACCTCCACGTGGCCCCCCTTGTGGGCTTTTCCTAGTGAACTCTGGGTAAACCGCCTGCAGTAGGTACAAGAAGTGCTTGTTCTTTTAAGAACTGACCACTCCTTAACCAGTCCCTAATCCCACCCTGAATCCCCTAGTTAGCATATTTGGCACATGTTTTATTGTATTTTATCCTATATAAACTTTAACTGTACCTCTCTAAGGTTACAGGATCCTTTAAGAATCCTTGCCCACTGAAAAGCATAACAATAAACTTTGCCACCTTGGCTTAAAGAATGCTTGACTCTGTGAATTCATTCCAGATGACCCATGTACTTCAGTCTTTGAGGGGTCACAACCTCTCAACCTCTCACACCGCAACAGTCTTGTCGCTGGAGATGTTCTGCTTCTGCTCCGACGTGCTCTACTGTCACCTGAACCGCTACCAGCAGCCCTGGGCCCCCAGCTTCACCAAGAAGCCCTAGTGAGTACAGCCCCAGACTGGCCCGGATCCTCTGTGCAACCCCCCCCCCCCCGCCTCGAGGCGCCGGTCGCTGCCACCCCGGCCCTAGCGAAGAGCTGCTCCCCCTCTCCCCTCCCTGCGCACTGCTCTTCCCCCGACTCACTCCGGCTGCGCCCCGACTTCCCCCACCTGTCCCCTCCTTACTTTGCCACCTGCCACCCCGCTGGACCCCACCGGGCGCCCACGCCCTCCGCACATGACGAGCTGGTCATCCATTCATTGCATGTGTTGGGAGAACCGTCGCTCCTCCGACCACTTCACCGGCTCTGCCGCCGGTGGCATTTGGGGTCTCCCCGCTGCCAACTTGGCTGAAGGCTTTCTACTCCCCTCCCCCGCTCCCTTGGGCTGCCTGGGGACTGATTTGTGATCAACAAGTCTCCTGCGTGTCTGTCATTATTTCTTTCTCCTTAATGTAATCGGGACCCTGCTCCCCTCTTCTCTCTCAAGTGCATAGAATGAAGGAATCCACGTTTCTCTTAATTTCCCCGTCCCATCGATTCTTCATTTCAAAAGTGAGCATTTCACTTAGAAAAAATTGCTATGCTTTGTGACTTGAAAATTATCTCAACATTCTCAGGCGGATGGCCTATAGTATATGCATAGGGATTTTAAAAACTTTTTGCGGCTTTTCTTTTTATACTGTCACTTATTTTACACTCCTGGAATATCTCGTTGTTATTGGTGCCTTCGACCAATGCATAAGCTAATTTCTACTTTGGAAGGAGGGCATGGGACTATTCCTACTTTGTGGGAAGGGCAGAGGATTGACGGGGGGGGGGGGGGGGGACGGGACGTGGGACTGCTCCTACTTTTGTTGGGGAGAGGGTTGATGGGAGACGTGGGACTTTGTATAAATTTCAAAAGACATTTTGTTTCTGACGTTAGTGTTCCACAAATGCCAAGACCACAGAAGGGCAGAACAAGAAAGAGGATAGCTGATTTTTATATTTAGCTCCCAGCAGCCAAGAAGAGGCTATAGAACACCATTTAGTTGAAGTCATGCCTTTCTCTGGTGACCCCCTTCCTCTCCCTCCCCCCCTTTCCTTCCTTCAATTAAAAATATGTGAATTGGTGTCCTTTTAGTACTGCTGCCCTTTTTCATTTCAGGGCTTTGAGGGATTAAGTAAAGATGGAAAACTTCTGCATAAATATGAACAAATGTTAAATTCATATATAAAGTAGAAATCCCAATGAAGGTCATGGAAATTACAAAAAATTACAATTTTAAAAAATTTAAAAAAGAAAAAGAATTCTCTTTGACAATTCATACCATTGGAATGATTAATTTTTGAATCTTAAAGGTTTTGACACCTGTAAACCTATAGCTATATAGGCTTTCTTTATTTCCTCTATTATAATTTTGCTTGTTTTAATAGTTTTGTGTGTTTGCTGGACCTTTTACTTATTCTGTAAGCTATATGTCATTTCTACTCAGCCTGATACCACTTTCAGAAGAAAGTAAGAAAATTGTGAAACTATTAATAGTCTTAAAAAAGGAAATTAAAAAGTTAAATTTTGTGTATGACTGTAACATAATGCTGCAGTACAGAAAAATAATTCATGCTGACCCACAAGGTTGCAAAGCAGAAGGAATAGAATTGCTGATAAATTGCAGGATTATTTGTGTAGGAGATCTCTAGATGTTTTTGAAAACAGAATGTCTTCAGAATAAGAAAAAGAACTTATGTCAATATTATGTCTACTGGAGATTAATGTTGGGTAAAGAGAAGAAACCAAGGTTGTTTTATCAAGAGCATAGTAATTGGAACATTTTAGAGGAATTTTGTAGTCTCTCTGATGAGGTACCTGCATGCATGTATGCAGTCAATATGTAAGCATTCTGGCTACTTTGTGTGACAATTAACTTGAGATAATTTCTGCCTCCTGATTTTTATAACCTAACATAACTCATATCTGTAATTGCCAATAAATTAAACACTTTAATTAGAGAAAAAGTGATATATTGGATAAGAAAACAAAAATTTTACAATCTGTTGCTTACAAAAAACACATTAAAAAAAAGACAGGAAAAACTGAGAGGATAGAAAAAGAAATTGCTGTGCAAGAAGTGAATCCAAGAAAAGCATGAGTTGAAATCATGCTAGTTGACAAGCCAAAAGGAACAATCAAAAAATTAAAAAGAGATAAATGAGGAAACTACAATATGCTGAAAGAAACCACAGACAACAAACCAATATCAGTAATAAAGACATGCACTCGATTTTTTAGCATTTAAATTCATAAAGGAAAAACTGCTTGAGCTACAAGGAGATGTAAACAGGACCACAATCCTGAGAGGAGACTTCATTATTACTCTGTCAGTTTTGGGATAAGTCCTAGGAATTTTTACCTTAAATAGCAAAATTTCACTGACCACATCTTAAGGCTTGAATATCTTTCCTGATGTTTTCCTACCATTGAACATTTCATTAATCCTTTACTTATGAATTTAAAACTACCCACATTCTGGGGCTTCAGACACAAAGCAAATACCAGATAGTTGACTCATCATTTTGAAGCTACATCTTTCAAATGAAAATTTGCTATTATAATAAATTTATTATCTGCTTTATAACAAAATATACTTCATTAAATATTTAATGCTTTTCAAATATTTCTTTTTTTTATTAAATCCCTTTAAAACACCAATTCATGGGTAACAGCATTCAGATTAAAATGTTTTGTCTAATAGCATTTCTATTATGATGGTCTTTCAAATTTTACAAATAAGAGAATTTAGAATTATAGTAATAACACAAACAACATCATTTATTTAAAACATGAAACAAAACTTCAAATGACATCAATTGTATTTCCAAATTACCACATATAAAAATCATTGATCTTATTATCTTTGACATTTTAAACCCATTTTAGAGTTATCAGGCATGGAACAATTACATTCAATTAAAGAAATAATAATCATATGCTAGTCACTATATTAAGCATTTTACAATCATGATATCATTTTGGTCCTCACAACAGCCCTGGGAGGTGGGTAGCATTATTATTTTTCTCTTTATAGATCAGGAAACTGGGGCAAAGAAAGATAAGATAACTTGCCTAAGATTACAGAGCTAATAAAATTCTACAGCTGGAACAGAGAAGGGCAGACTCACCAAAGGCAGAGGCTGGCTGGCCTCCCCAACTTGTACTGCCACTCTAGGTGCTGTCAGGGGCACCAGGAACTTCCCAGGCAGCAGCTGGGCAGGCCTGCTGAGAGCTGGGCCTGTACTGTAGACACTGACTTGGCTTTGTAGGGGTGTGGCAGAGGGCACTGGTTACAGAGTAGAAATCCCAGAGGCTAGGGTGGCTGGTGCCAAGACCTTCACATTGGGGGTGGTTTCTGGTGGCAAGGCAAAGTGGATACTGGCCATGGGGACTAACCCCTCCCCCAACATCTGTAGTTTTGGGGCCAGGTGCTGCTGGAACTGGGGCAACTGGCAGCTGCTAGGGCAGAAGGTACTTCACCTGGGTGAAGCTTCCAGTCTTGCCTAGAGGGATGTGCTGCAGGATGCCTAGGGGCACAGGATCACTGGGGCCACTGCCACTGGGGGGCTCACTGTAGCTTCTGCCCCCTCCCCACCAGATATGCCCTGGGCAATGAACTGCATGAATATAATCCAAATTTCCCTACATCATTCCAGCATTTTTTGTCCACATCTGTATTCGGGAATCTCATCTGAGATGAGAGGGGTCAATGGAATAAGAGGGAGAGGGTCTCTAAACTGGGGGAGTCACAGGAGTCTCTTTGGTTTAAACCAGGAGTAGAGAACCTGTGCCCTCAAGGCCACATTTGGCCCTCTAAGTCCTTAAGTGCAGCCCTCTGACTGAATCCAAACTTCACAGAACAAAGGACTGCACTTGAGCGTCTAGAGGTCCACATGTGGCCTTGAGGCAGAAGGTTCCCCACCTCTGGTTTAAACAACCTTTTCTTTTCATGGTCAGAAATGTCAAGGAAGGATTAATAATAGGTTGCTATAATATGCAAATCTTTGACTCATTTTTTTTTCTTTCTTCCCTCTGGAATTACTTCCAAACTAGCTGCCTTCCCTTCATTGCCCTACGACAATGAGGTTATTAATCTTGCCGTTTACTTCCAAAACTTTTATAACTTTTATTTTTCCTTAAAGCAAATTCTACAGAGTGGTATCCCAAAATTTACGATTTCAGAAGGAAGGGAATCAGATTGGCTAAGATGACAAAACAAGAAAATGATAAGTGTTGGAGAAGATGTGGGAAAATTGAAACACTAATGCATTGTTGGTGGAGCTGTGAAATGATCCAGCCATTTTGGAGACCAATTTGGAACTATGCCAAAGGACTATAAAAATGTGCATACCCTTTGACCCAGCAATAGCACTTCTAAGGTTATATCCCAAAGAAATCATACAAATGGGAAAAGGACCCACATGTACAAAAATATTTATAGCAACTCTTTTTGTAGTGGCAAAGAATTGGAAATTGAGGGGATGCCCATCAATTGGGGAATGGTTGAACAAGTTGTGGTATATGAATGTAATGGAATACTATTGTGCTATAAGAAATGAACAGGCTGACTTCAGAAAAACCTGGAAAGACTTGTATGGTCTGATGCTGAGTGAAGTGAGCAGAAGCAGGAGAATGTTGTACACAATAACAGCCACATTGTGCAATGACTAATATTGATAAACTTAACCCTTCCCAGTAATACAAGGATCTAAGACATTTCCAAAGGTCTAATGATGGAAAATTCTATCCACATCCAAAGAAAGAATTATGGAGTTTGAATGCAGATCAAAGCATACTAATATTTGCTAATTTTTTTTCTTCTGTTGTGTTATGTTTCCTCTTTCTGGTGGTTCCTCCTATTGGTTCTAATTCTTACTTAAGACATCACTAATGTGAAAATATGTTTAGTAGGAATTTATATGTATAGCCTGATGAAGGATTGGAGGTTTAGAGTGCTGGAACCCCAAGAT